TTCTTCAGTCCGCTATACCACAGAAACACACTAGCCGAAAAGCATTTAAACGGAGCCATGATGCGCTGTGTATGGCATCATCGCGTGTATTGACGCAGGCATACAGCGTGGTGTCGTCTGCAAATGTTCCCATTTCAGACCCTGGAGCCAGGCAGCTATCAGCATCATTTACATATACTAGGAACAGGGACGGTCCAAGGATGCTGCCTTGTGGCACTCCTGCAGAGATCGGATAGCGATCGGAGCTCTTGCCGCCAATGACCACTTCCAGCGAACGACCTGTTAAGTAGTCACTAAGCCAGTCCAGGAGGGCGCCCTTCACACCGATGGTCCGCAACTTGTGCAGTACACCTGTTTGCGAGACTTTGTCAAAAGCCCCGGCGATGTCGACAGCAAGCACCTCCACAGATCCACCAAGGCCAGATGTGGCCGACCACTTATGGTGTAGCCCCGTAAGTAGATCGGCTGGACCTAGGCCTCGGCGAAAGCCAAATTGCCTTGGTGATAGGAGGTTTTGTCCCTCCAGAAAGTTCATTAACTGGCGGTTGAAGATGAACTCCATTACTTTGGAACATATAGAGAGCAGCGAGGCTGGTCGGTAATTCTTTTCAGCGGATTTGGAGGACTTTTTGTATACTGGAACTACTCGGGCAACCTTCCATGCCTGTGGTTGGTGGCCAGTACTGAAAGACAGGGAGAAGAGGCGTGCTAGGGGCCCCGCAAGCTCAGTTGCGCATTCCTTGAGTACTGTAAAAGCCATTATTCTAACGAGGCGCATATATAACGATTTCCCAAAATTGACTAGTTTACGTGTACCTAAGGTAACGATTCTCACTCATTCTCAACGCTCAATAGGACAGTATATGTATCGATTTCTGTATAACGATTTCTATTTTAACGACAGATTTCTCCTCGTTAACTCGTTAGATTTAGCACTTCGGTTTATACATGTATATGGCGTTTACAGTACCCTAGCTGGGATATTGTCCGGTCCAGTGGCTTTGGAGGAGTCGAGTCTTGCTAGATGTCGTCATACTGTGTCAGCCCGGAAATGTATCCTTGTAACTGCTGGAGTTTTCTGCACCTCGTGGCATGTCAAGACAGCCAATTGAATAATATAATTCTCTAGCTTCTCGGAGAAGAAGAAGACAGAAGTCGAAGAAACTGGTATACTTCAAGAATGTGTCTCCAAGAATTCGGAGATATTTTGTACATGTAAAGCAATATGAAGCGCCAAAAGGGCCGTGAACTTGAGTGCCACGAATACGCACTGCGCGTATGCAAAAAGGGAAATGCGTACATTCATGATCAACACATGCTTTTAGCTGCCGGTCAGCCAACCGTAGTAGTAGTAGTAGTTTTTACTATTTTACTAGGGGAGTCCCAACAGGCTACTGCCTTTTTACTGGGAACCCTAGGGGAAGTTTAACCATGTTAATGAACAGAGCAAGAGAGCGGGCCTGGCGACGGTCAGCTGGAAGAGAGTTCCACCTGCCTGCCGCCAGAAAAGAAATAGAGCGCATGCCATACTGCGTATAAACGAGTGGGAGAACTAAGGCTCTTTGTGCCTTGCCCCGGGTGCATGCCTGGTGACCAGGTGCAGTTGCCCGAAGCTGGTACAGAGACTGAAGAAGAGGACTAGCAAGATGCTGGGCCAAGCAGCGGTACACAAAAACATAGAGCTTGAGGCTAATACGCTGTTCCAAAGAATAGAGGTGATATAAGCGAAGAACTAGTTCAGTGGGCGTGGTACGATCGAGTCCAAACACTCTCTTCATTGCTATGTGACTAACGGTCACAATCCTATTGTACAGAGTTGTGCTTAAACAATGTAGGTAAGCATTACTGGCATAGTCTAGGGTAGACTGAATAATAGACAAGTAGAATGTTCGCTTTGCATCATTTGTTAAATTTCTACGGCCATGTCGGAAAGCAGCAACTTTAGCAAAAACCGAGTTACACAATTTCTGGACCTGTGGCTGGAAGGTGAGATGCTCGTCTATCAATAAACCAAAGTATTTGGCAGTGCTCGTAGGGGTAATAGCCTTTCCTTTACAGGTCAAGGGCTGTGGCAACTGCGCTGCTGGCAGGCGTGACCGCTGCAGGATTAGAAATTGCGTCTTGTCGGGGTTCATGATGAGCCCCTTCAGATCTAAATGGACCTCCAGGGCAGTTAGATCGTCCTGGAGATCCTGTAACATAGCAGGAAGGTCCAGTCCGATGATAAAGAAGGCAATGTCATCAGCATAGAGTTGTGACATGCTGTGCTTGAGAATTTCCGGCACCTTGCGAATATAAATGCAAAAGAGCAGGGGACCCAGGACGACCCTTGCGGGACGCCCCTGGTACAAGGCACAGTCTCACCATGCTCGCCATTGACTATTACCTGTTGACTGCGGCGTGACAGATAATCTGCAAACCACTGCAATACAGTGCCCCGTAACCCAACATCAGCCAGCTCATGGACTAACTGCTGATGTTGAACGCGGTCAAATGCCTTACTCATGTCTGCAAACACTATTGCGCATCGTTGACCATCGTCCAATGCTCGGTTCCATCTATCAATGCAGAGAGCAAGGGCATCCTCACAGCTGTGGTACCGGTCGGCAGGAGCCCGCCTGGATATTCGGGCTCAGGGCTTTTGGTCGAGGCAGCAAGATGCCTTCTTTGATGTACGGGTCACTCACCCGAAAGCTTCCCTACCTGTCTCGTTCGGAAGTCCTGAGTCAGCTCCAGGCGCATGAAAAGGCAAAAAAAAGAACACACTGTGACAGGGTGGATCGTGGAGCTTTCACTCCTCCCGTTTTCATTATCTCCGGCATGTGCGGTAAAGAGACGACATTGTGTTTGAAGGCACTGGCATCGCAACTGGTGGAGAAGCATAGCGAGCTTGCCTACTCGGTAGTGATGGGTGAGCTTCGGAGCCTCCTGTCGTTTACCCTGCTCCGTTGGGCCATAACATGCTTCCGCGGGTGCAGGGGGTCGTATAGCCGTAGGCGAGACCACGGCTTCTTGCACCGCTACCTGTCTAGGTCAGTGGCCTAGACGGTATTAAACGTGTCTTAATTGTCTGATTGTTTCTTTGTGTGCGTTGCTTGCTTACTTGTAGTTTGTCTCCTGCAACCATGTTTCAACATTGTTAGTGCTTACGTTTGGTGATTTTGTTGCCGCGTGACCGCCAACTAGGGTCCAGCGGATAATGTTCCGAAAATGTTCGTATAATGCTAACCATAATGCTCCAAAAACTGCCTTATAATGCTGATTATAATGTTTCGGCAAGGGATATAATGCTCTTGGTTTGGGGCAAAAATGGAAGAAAGTCTGCACATTGTCAAACTTCCAGGAAATTATGCATATCGTCGATCTGCATCTGAAGTTGCCACCTTATCTCTCACGAGCTCCACTACTTCTTAGCACTATAAGACATGATCGCTTCTCCATTGATTGCTCTCCATTCCAACTTTCATGCAGGGTTGTGGCAGAATAGTCGGTGTATCAAATCCCTCTCCTAATTATTCATGTAGTGAGAAATGAAACCATTATTGCAGGTAGTCATTCATTGTTGGGATGAAGTTAATCTTGGCAAATAGTATTCCTGCCTGCAGACAAGCTGTCACTGCGTCCACTCTGTGAATGATGTCTTCATCTGAAACACCAGACGTGAGGCCAGCTCCTGAGATCCGATCTCAGATGGAGAGCCCTCCCATTTGCGGAAATCCTGAAAACACGTGGTCAGAAGTTATTTTGCCACTCTACATCCTTTGCTTGTGCTCTCATCTTCTCCTTGAGATGGTGTGTAGACGTATGGCTTGCCACAATACTCTTCCTTTCTGATAGCATTTGACTGTAGACCTGGCATTACAACCGTCCACAACTAACTTTACGTGCTTCATCAGGAAAGTAGGACAGGCGCTGCTGAGCAATCGACTTGGTACTGAGTCCATGAGAAATTCTAGTTCTTTTCGAGCCTCCTGAGCTGGAGCTGGACTCGGCAAAGGCAGTTCTTTTGGAACGAGCTCTTTCTGTTTATAGCCGCTCCTTCATCCTGGTCCAAATTTAGCAATGCATCAGTGACTACTTCAGTATCGCTAGAGATGCTATCGCCAGAGCCTCTGGCACAACTAGAAAACTCTTCTTCGTCTGTTTGATATTCATTTCGCGTATGTCTCCTCCATAGCTCTCCATTATTCTAAAAGTACTTCAGTAAAAGAAACCTCGCAAATAATTTCTCCGGATTTGTGTA